ATTTTAAAAGTTCACTTAATACGTAGTTTTGTTGTCACTAGACAGATCGCTTACTTCATAGTATGTGTTTTAGTTTAAATGATCGCTTATTTTGTAGTGATGTTTGAACTGGACAGATCGCTTACTTCATAGTATGTGTTTTAGTTTAAAAGATCGCTTATTTTGTAGTGATGTTTGAACTGGACAGATCGCTTACTTCATAGTATGTGTTGTCATTAAAAAGATCGCTTATTTCATAATATTGTTTGAACTGGACAGATCGTTTACTTAATAGTATGTGTCTTAACTGAAAAGTTTTTATTTATTTATTCGCTTACTCCAGATTGATTTGATCTGCTACTGATTCTATGTGCCTCTAACATGCTTATCGCCTGATCTAGTGTGTGTGTGAATAGGCCTTGATTCCTGCGGCCTTATGCTAGGTTTATATGCGCAAACAAAAGTTTGTGGATATTGTATTTTGGGAAATTCCAAGAGGCTAAATTAAATTAAATATGACGGCTTCTAGTGCAATCTCTTTCCACATTCGCTTACACCCATGATACGAAGGTACAGAGCAGACATATCGTTATGAATTTCAACCTGTTGACTAGCGTGTGCACTTCTTTCATAGGTCTCTTGAGATTCTTTGCAAAGGCAGCAAAGATAACGATTCGTTCCTCACATATCAAGAATACCCGTTCCATAACTTCGTCAACGGCAACGACATAGTCTCCAGTGGGTCATTCAGCGGTGTCAGCTTCGTATTCCCGGAGGGTGCCGACTGGGTAGTACCAAGCTTCCAGCTGCGTGAAGACAGTTTGCATGTAGGATCGATGTACAAGATGATGTGCAGGTGAGTGATCTGTGCCAGTTGCCACATTCTAACACAGTATGCGTCGTCCAAATGAAGCTCCGGTTCCGTGTGGTTTCGTGCTGAGCTTTGCGCTGTATGTAGTTTTGGTTCTATGTGGACTGTTTTATTCGTTATTTGAGATGTTGTATCTCTACCAGCTGATTCGGGTTATATGTTGTCAACAACATATGATCCATCGGGTATCCGTGGTGAGTTCTGTAGAGAGTATCATGGCTATCCTTTTTTTGGACGGAAAAAGTGTAAAAGAAAATCATTGAAACTAAATTTTAGTAGTCGCAAAAAGGGTATAAAGGGCAAGATAAAAACTATGTTTAAGAAGACCGAAGATATGAAGAGCACCATTATACTATATCTATATTTAGACGCGAAGGGTATTTGCAATGCCACGGGTGAGTGACCTCTCTCTGCCCTGTATATGGGCAATACTATCTTGGCAGTTTGGGATTACCAAATTGTTGTTGGCATTACTACTCTGTCCAGAAAGTTAATGACCTCGCCGGAATCCCTCTTGTATTTCTATTCCGTGGGTTGAGACCGATCACCGACACTATTTTGTAGAATGGCACACACGCACACACACACACACACACACACACACACACACAC